TTTGAACTGCAGGAGATTGTCTTGACCATGTCTACATGCCTAAATGCACTGAGTTGCCGCCATGTGATTGGCTGCTTAGAGATTAAGTGTTAAGGAGCAGTTGGACAGGTGTACCTAATAAAGTGGCCGGTGAGTGTATGAATTCAGTTGCGTTCAGTTATGTATCAATTGAAGACACTATCCAGATCATACCCAGCCAGTCAGCCACTGGTAGGGGCTGTATTTTTTTTCTTACAGTGTTCATTGAAAATATCACGATGAATCGCAATATTTCAAGTAGGGTTGTCACGATGCTAAACTTTTCAACTCGATACTGATACTAAGTAAAATATTCGATACTCGATACCCTTTTCGATACCACAAGAATAAAAACAAAGACTAAAATTCAACAGAAATATTTTCATTACTAAAAAAATACATGAAATAAAAAAAAAAAAACAATAAGTAAAAAAATATTTTGAGGTTGTATGCTGTGCACAATATTAAGCAAGCTTGATAAAAAAACGTACAAAATTAAAACTAGGTGTTCCTTCCTTGGCTATGCTCTGCACACATAACAATGACACCAGCCAAACCAGTTAAACAAAAATAATTCTCAGCAGCTGCACCTGTTTCAAAAAAAGTCTGAAACTGAAAAATGCACAGAATTATTCAATCACACAGTGTTCAGAAAGCGCATTTCCACTATTCTGCACTTTATATGGCTGTATCGATACTTTTGAAAATGAGTATTATATCCGGATACAACGTTTCAGTATCGATACTTTTTTTGAGTATCGATACTTTTGACAACCCTAATTTCAAGTATCGCGATGCATCGTGATAGAATCACATCGTGGCATGTGAATTGTGATTTGGATCGAATCGTGACTTCTTTGGCAATACTCACCCCTACCCGGGATGCTAAAATTACTTGTGCAGAGCTGCAAGGTGGACTACACTATAAAACATCACTAGTCCTACGGAAGTGTAGACTGTGACGTGAAAGTGGATTTTAGTGATTCGCCCGTAGCTAAAGGGATGACCATAAAGACAGGTCTGCTGCACACAGACACTTTAGATAAGTTCCCAAAACACTGAGGCTCTTCAAAATAAAGCTATACTTTTAGAGCATTTGAATGTGTTTTCTACAATCTCTTTTCTTGTTTAAAAAAATATATTTTTTTATTATGAATGTTTCTTGTTAAAAAGATTTTCTAACGTTTAAGTCCACACATCTTATGCTTTGTGGTATTATGCACTTTAAAGATTAATCTCGCTGGTCACTTTTCAAACACCACAATGTATTAAAATATATACAAATGCTGGGAACCGATTCTTTTTTTTACATTTCTTTAATATTTTGTTCTATTCAGCTACACAAGTATTCTCTTTAAACTACTAAGAATTATACTATAAATGTGACTTTACCCGATTCTTATGTACACCTTAGTAATTTATTGATATGCCGCACAATGTCCTCCTTTTTGGTGCTATAGAAATGGCCACCCTAATGCGACTGCCTGGGGGTCGCACAGCTAACTCTGCTGATGAAGCCTTTATCATCATCAACTCTCCCCAATCGTCT